AAAAAAAAAAAAAAAAAGCAAGTACAGGATAAAACCTGACTGAAATATTCTCTGCTCACTGTGGTATTTTCAGTAAATGTTCGTTTTCATTTAAAAAGATGCACTATATTACCTGAAAGGAAGGTGTTTGGTTTATTTAATGCACTTGTCATATAAAAATAAACTAATTTAAATAGTTTTGTTGTTGATGTTTAACATTTTACAGAGGAGGAGGAGGAGGAGAAGGAACGGCTGGGGCTGCAAAACAGAAAGTGAATATTGTGTCTCGTGGGATTTATTCAGGGATAGAATAAAGACTGGAAATAGCATTTCTTTTTGCAATTTAAAGGTTTATGCCTCTATAATACCTGGCTTTTTAAATGAGCACACATTTTCTTTTAAATGAAGGCTGCAATTGTGAAATACAAAATCAAGGTCATTGAAGGCCTGGACCCTCAGTCCATTTTCCACTTCTAGTTAATATGCTGAGCAATGTAAGAAGGAAAAAAACATTTTGTGGATCTCTCCCCCCCTTTTTTCCTTCTGCATTTTATTAATGTACTATAACCTTGTCAGTATTATCTTTTGATGGGATGAAATTATCCTATTTCTCATTTCCTACACTTGTGTTCGGTGAATATAATGAATACTTTCCAAAGTTACAGTAAAAGTAATGACCAAAGTCTGGTGTATATCTGTGTGTCTGCGTTTTCCTTCACAAAGAAGATTTATAAGGACATCTGGGTATTTAGGCTGTCCGCAAATTTTTTGTGGTGGATGAATAATGAGACCAAGGGAACAAACTTTATTTTGTCTACTGGACACTTGTTATTGAATATTGTAATAGCTTAATTGGATCATAGAAACATTACTTCCGAAATGTGGCACATGCTGTGAAACATCACCATTTTCCTAGGGCATACATAAACTGTTTTGTTGTCACGGAAATCTGATAAAATGCTTTTAATAAATATACCATTGTAAAGAAGCCCACATGAAAAATGTGATGCCATATTCAATACAGGATATTGGCAGACTTCTAAAGGTGAACTTCAGATTAACCATTTATTTCTCAGCTCTGTGCTTTATTCTGTAAATGACAGAAAGTGGTTGTATTTATTTTTCCAACACACTTTGAAAGAAAATCAGTCAGGCTATAAATGGACCAGGTCTTGTTTTACTACTTTATCCATACTGGGTTAATAAAGTTGTAGCAAAATATTTTTAAGATTTTCGACTTTCATTTTTAGAATATACTAACATGACTCTTGAGGGAACAAGAAGGTGGAGTAAAAAAAGAAGATGACAGCTCTTATCAAACTGACAGAGGGTATTATTGCTGCAAGGTCTTTTTTGTGGGTCTTATGGAGTGTTGTACCACTCAGCGTACATCACTACTAATTTTATCAAAAGCCCTGAAGATCTATTTATTTACTCACGATTTCCTTGGACCAAGTTTCTTCGCATTTAGAACCCAGATTAATTCTATTATTTTGAAAGTGCTTGAGGAAGATTGTGTAATCATTTTAACTTAGGTTTTTAAAATGTTTTGCTACACATTACTGTACATCATTTTTTTTAATTTTGTAAGCCACTCGGAGAGAAATTGTGATGAGGATAAAGCAGATATCTTGAACCTAGTTCTGTACATGCATTGAATTGGAACATACCCTTCTAGAATACAAATGCTGAGGGACAGTGTGTTAGGACAACAATAAACACATTGCCAGAGCACATTGCTTTCTAGCCCGGAAACTAGCATTATTTACCAACAGAAGTTCAATCGTTAAGTTAATAGAGTGCCAATGAAAAGTATTTAGAAAGGAACAGAAGGGAAATCAAGAGAGTTATCCTAACCCTGCTCCCCCAAGACATACCCAATTCCAGCAACCGTTCCTTATATGTTTTAGCCTCCAGTCCCCTAATCATTTTTGTTGCTCTTCTCTGTACTCTTTCTAGAGTCTCAACATCATTTTACATCGTGGTGACCAAAACTGGATGCAGTATTCCAAGTGTGCCCTTACCAAGGCATTGTAAAGTGGTATTAATACTTCACGTGATCTTGATTCTATCCCTCTGTTAATGCAGCCTAGCAGTGTGTTGGCTTTTTTGGCAGCTGCAGCACACTGCTGGCTCATATTCAAGTGATTGTCCACTAGGACTCCGAGATCCCTCTCACAGTTACTACTATTGAGCAAGTTACCCCCTATACTATATCTGTACATTTGGTTTTTCTTGCCTAAATGTAGAACCTTACTTTTTTCACCACTGAATTTCATTTTGTTAGATGGTGCCCAGTGTTGTTTGATGCCATTCTTATTTTTTAACAAGGCTGCATTTTCAATAGAAGACAATATATAGCTCAGGATTGAATTCTCTGAGTGTGGTTGTTTTCTTGCAGATGTTTCATTACACAACTAGGTAATGTCATCTGTGCTAAAAGTGGGTTGGGTTTGTTTTCTGTTTATAGACCAGTGGCTTGTTCTGTCAGTATTGGTGGAAATGGTCTTGATGATTCCTTGATTGGGCTATTGGTAGCTGTTTGATTGCTGATGTAGTATTAATCTTGGTGTTAATCTCTGCTTATCTCTATGTGAATTGCTGGCAAGGAGGTGTTGTGGTCTTTTAGCTTTTTGATTGTCTCTTTTGAATGGTATGCAGATGTTGCATTTGAGGGAGCTATGTGAAAACTCCACTGCTGAACATCAGAGAAGCTATAGTATTGTTTAAGTTCTCCACTATGCTTTTTTTTCATTAAAATTATCTGCTGTTTCTTCCCTTTCAACATCTCACCTTTTTATCATCAGCCCTCAGGTTTTCTTGCTATTTTCTATCTTGAGAGATGCACCTTAAAAATGTGCTTAACAAGTCAGACTAAAATGTGAAGGTTCTTAAAAGGCTTTTCTGATTAGCAGGTATATGTTCATCTAGATTGTGAGGGATAATTGTTCTTTCCTTTTTAATATGAATTCACTTGTCCTTTTCTCTTACCAGATCAACTAATAGAAATTGGAATGGATGTTGCTATTCATAGTGTGTTGGGAAAATCCATTAGTAGTGGCTGCGATGTCCATTTAGCTGTGTTTTTAATAACATCAGAATTCTGGATTCCGGGCTCAGAACCAGTTATAAATCAATGTTATATTTGCTGAAATAAAGTTTTGAGCAAGCTTTAAGCAAAGTCTTCATTTTTATTGGAATGCATTTTGCAGTGATCATTGTAATAAAAGATTATTGCCTTTAGCACAGTTGGAAGTCCTCAACTTGTAACAGCAATTGGGGCCTTAATTTCCATCACTAAGTGCTGTGACCATAAATCCCTGCAGTTCCAGTTGCTGTTGTTAATCAAATCCCATATCGATAATCAACTTTCTGCCAGCTTCCCACAACCAAAATCAGTGAGGAAGGCAGCAGAAAGTTTTAATCCCAGACTGGCAGGCAAGTGGCTGCTGCCAGAAAAGTGCAGGAGAGGGTCAACAAGTGTGTGCGAGGGTTGGGTGGGGAGGGTGTGTGAGAAATGTGGGGGTTGGGGAGGGTGCACAAGAGATGTAGGTTGGGGATGTGAGGGAGTACACAAGAAGCATGGCACAGGTTGGGTAGTATGCAAGGGGATGTGCAAAGGGCATAGGTTGGGGAAGTTGCATTAGAAGCACGGATTTGGGGAGGGTGCACAGGGTTGTACAAGTGGCCAGTGTGGCACAAATGCAGAAGGGTTGTGGGAAGGTGCATGGGTGGGGGAGATTGAACCCAGTGAGTTGCAACTTTCCCTGCCAGCTTCCCAATAGAATTTCTGGGGAAGCTGGCAGGAAAAGTTGGAAATTGTGATCACATGATCACAGTGTATTGCAACCGGTCACAAGTGTGAACTGTCTGCCAAAGACCCAGATTGTGATTTCATGGCTGCGGGGAAATTTGGATGGCCAGAACTCTGAAGACTGATCATAACTGGCATTCACTTCGCACCATTGTAACTTGGAATAGCTGTAAGTGGAGGACTACCTTTTAATTTGTCATATGGAAAATGTATTTTTAAACAGAAACACATTCCTGCTGAATTTGAACAAAGTGTTCATGATGAAAGCTAATCAACAGATGGATTTTAAGGAAGGAAATCTTGCTGCCTCATTATCTACTTCATTTGCCCCACTAGACTGGTTAAAAAATAAATATTTTCCTGCTAAAGTAGCGTGTTGAGCTGGTCAGGGAAACATTTTCGTTTCATTGGTCCATTGTGACACATCAAAGACATATTTACCTTTCAGTCATTCGAGAGACTTTGACAGCAAGCTCACCTCATGGGGGTTTGAACTTCATTGGAACAGACCTTGCGTAGGGCAAAAGGGAAAAAAAAGGAAACATCTGTGTAATTGCTTTTCAGGGGCTCGTAATGAAGAGGTAGCATTAATGAATGGTTTGACAGTTAATCTACATCTCCTAATGGTAAGTCATAATAACCTACATATTATCTAGCTAGATGAAACTATGCCATAGATAGTCCAGAATTTGTTTGTGCATCTGTTGAGACATCAGTACAATGTGGTACCTCTAGCTGGATTAAAATTTGTCCCTTGGTATTTGGTTTAGGAATTCTGAAGAGTGTACTAAAATAACTATCCTGGGTTTACAAACAAGCCAAAACAAAACAAAAAAAGGGGCTATGCAAATCTAATGTGAAGATTGGCATAAGTGATAGTAGTGATGGCATGGAGTGAAGTGACTCATTGCTTGCCTTCAAATACCTGGAGTAATATATTGGGATGTCTAATTAAAGTGCTTTGTCATGGAGCTAATCAACACTTAGCTTTCAAATGTCATGGAAACTGTCTTAAAACAAGATATGCAAGCATGTACTTACAAAGAAGAAAGAGAAGATAGCTACCCAACTCCAACGTTCATCCTCCTATTTTGTATCTCAGGACTGTGGGTTTGGTAGATATTAACTATCAGATAATAGAGGAAACTAGTAAACTTCCTGCTCATATAAGTCTATAATAGGATAGACTTGATCTTTGCAGAAAGAGCAAGCATGCCTTAAATATCATGTTAAAAATCATCTGTTCAAAAATAGGTTATAGGTATTTTTAGTTTTTGAAAATTTAGCCCAAACTCGCTGAATCTTATTTCTCTGTCATTTCTGGCCCTCAGCATTTTTTTCCTGTTTTATTATTTCCTGTTTTATATATTTGGCATGTCAGTTTCTCATATTATTTAGAGAAAAATGGGAAACTCTTATTTTTTTCTAGAACCGTCTTTTGATTCTGGTCCAAAGTACAATGCCCAGCCTTTGATATGATTGAAGTTAAATCTGGCTGTGTACCATGGCACCAAATCAGGCCTAGATGCATATCTGTGATTAGTGCGTATGTTTATTTTTTTAAACATATACAGTAGAAAATGTTGCTTTCTAAATAACATCAACAGATTTTTATCAGGCACTTAAAAGCAGAATTTAAAAGTATGTACAACTCTTGCTTCCATGTGTCTCTCCAAAGTGACATTTTGATTGTTACCCTGACATTCCTCAGAAGCTATTACAATGCAGAGTGACTTATTTGCCAAGAAATGATTATTTCTTTCAAATTTCCAGAAGTAAAAGGGACACAAAACTTTAGGGATATATAGAGTAGAATTACCTTTCTGCAGCTTCTGAGAAACACTATGCCACTATCTGTATAGACATTGATCCTGTATAGACTTTGAATAGAAATTAATCATAACAGAATAATATAGTGACATTTCTATCTAGCACCTCATCTTTTCATAAAAGCTTTCTGAAATTTTTTATGTATGATGGGTTTATATATAGCACATGATATCTTAAAATAGCTTGTTCTAATCTATTCTTCAAGTAACATTCTAAAATATACTCGTTTTTACTCCATCCTATATGTTGCAAGAGGATTTGCTTTTTTTAACAATCCTTTTATTAGACAGATCAGGCAATATATAAACAGATGTGGCTATACTGTAATATTCATAAACACTCTTTTTTATATAATGCTAGTTAAAGTGGATAGAATTTGGTAACATTTAGGATGCCACCAAGTGCCTATTCCTATTTTAGAACAGAATTTACAAATTGACAATAGAGCAAGCAAATTGAGAAAAAAAGTTATTTTGCATTTGAATTCCTTTGGCATCTTCAAGTCATTGCTTTCCTACTGCAGTAAAAAAAATCTCTATGGAGAAATATGCTAATTATCATCACTGCCTATAAGAAAATATGTAGAACATCTGGATATCTGATTGTGTGATATAAAGAGAAACTTCTATGAATCTATTGTTTTATAAGAGCCGTGATGGTGCACTAGTTAGAATGCAGTATTGCAGGCTAATTTGATCCTGACCAACTCAAGGTTGACTCAGCCTTTCATCCTTCCGAGGTTGGTAAAATGAGGACCCAGATTGTTGGGGGCAATATGCTGACTCTGTCAACCCCTTAGACAGGGCTATAAAGCACTATGAAGTGGTATATACATCTAAGTGCTATTGCTAACTTTTCAGTGGATTGATAAATGTTTCATTTTAGATAACATAAATCTGTTTTATTTTTACAGTTGACATTTTTTAAGCCTACATTTTATCGCCATAAAATCCTTTTAGAAGCCAAAGCATTTCCTTCTGATCATGTAAGCAATTAATATTTCAACATATCTATGTTATACAATTTTGTATGTTACCTGATTATTTATTAGATGCTCTTTTTTTAAAAAAAAAAAAAGCTTACAAATCCAAGTTAGACACAATACTTTTGAAATTGACTTTTTTTTTTACTGATTGGCCTTTTTTGTTGTTGCTGTTCAAATAAAAATTGTATGGGAGTAAAGGATTGAATTGCCACACTGATTGATTAATCTTTTAAAGATACTGAGCAAGCTATTGACCTAAATCAACAACAGGTTATAAATGTTTTATTAATTCTTGTTGCTGTTTTACTTTATGAAACCAAATCAATACAAAACTCATACAATTAACAGTTTTATATCCCCAGATAGATAGAGAAATTCTTGTCGAGGGTGCTTTAGATTACTAAGTCAAACATCATTTGTGTGCTACAAAGTAGGACAATAGGCAGTGAATCAGAGATTTAAACACATTAATCTTCACGTTTGTGAGTCACCACTGATATCTCAAACTTAACAAAATGCTTGGAAATGAGTGAGAAATTTGTTCAATTAAACATAACATTTCCTCCAATAGACTTGTTATATGGGGTAATACAGATCAATTGGAACATTTTTTACAACAAATACTTAATTGCCATTCATAAGTTGCATGTAATATAGCTTCCACTTTCCAAGGTAATATTATGTTTGGGGAAAATATTATTACATATATTCAGCATTCAAACAGTGACAGAGCTATTAAATTCACAACGCTGTGTGGAACGCAGTTGTAAAGCTGCAAAAAAAGTTACTGATGATAATAAGGGATACCAACTACAGACATTCAGTCCTAATCCTTTCTTGTATCTCTGTCTGCAAACGGAAATCATAATAGTGTTTTGTTTTTCCCAAAGTAGGAAAGAATTAGAAGAAAAAAGGAGACCTTCCCATTGAGCCTCTTCTATGTTATGATTCAGCATTGCTAGTGGCTCTTTGGGAATGAAGCAGACAGGCAGGTAGATTACATCTGAAGTAATTGGTCTTCCACAGCCCAATCATAATGAGAGAGAAATGAGCAACCGAGATGGTTGCGCAATGCTGTCATTGACATGCTGTTCTTCATCAAAAGTATCTGCCATTTTTGACATCTCCTAAACTTTCTATATTGTCCAAGGGGATGGTCAATGTTTTTTTTGTCTAGTCTCCTTTATGGTCTGATATTTCCTGGTAGTCTCCCAACCAAAGTCCTAAGCAACCCTAACTCTGCTCAACAGCAGAATGCAGGCAAGTTTGGACATCCCAAAAGTGCTTTTTCAAAAGGCAACTGGATTTTGTTTTTCCTTAAAGACATTTTGCTTCTCGTCGAAGAAGCTTCTTCAGTCACTGAAGAAGCTTCTTTTGCATGAGAAATGAAATGTCTTCAAAGAAAAACAAAGTCCAGTTGCCTTTTGAAAAAGCACCTTTGGGGTAACCATGACTGGATGATTGAGAATCTCCGTAAGCAAAGTTGGACAACTGCTGTCACCTGCTGGGACTATGTATCAGGTTATCTGGATTCACATATGGTATGGCTACCTGATCTGTGCCATAAAAATATAGATAACCCCAAGGTGGGCACACTCTTTATTACTATCTAATGATCAACTGGATATTTTAGCCCAGGTCTAGTATCCCTGAAGTACGTCGATATAAACAATACTAGGTCATAGTGCAGTAATTTATCATCACAATAACTTAGCACTATTCCTATTTTTACAATCTAAGGAACTGGTTGATACCAGAATAAATTATATGTGTCTCACTCAGTATTATCTACTCTGATTCACAATGACAGGTGTTTCACACTGCTTACTATTTCATCCTTTAAACCGTGAATGCCAGTCATTCAATCTACTGTAAAACTCTTTCATGTAGACTTTGCATATCCTAAGCCTAGTGTATTAATTAATTGGTATTAATTGTTGTTTATAACAGAATGATTTGTTTTGCTTTTACATCTGTCCACTTTTTAAAAAATATCTAATTTGTTTCCGCAGTATGCTGTTGAGTCTCAGCTCCAGTTTCATGGGCTTGATAGGGAGAAGAGTATGCTTATGATTCAACCACGAAAGGTTTGTTGAACATGGTTTGTATCATGCTAGACAATTCACAGCCTTCAACATACATGAAGCCATCAGCATACAACTTTAAAACTCCTAGCATCAAAAATGCTCTCACTGAATTTTGGCAGCAAAGTGGCCAAATCTCACTGAGATTATTTTTCTTCAGCAAAAAGCCATTGTTGATACTCCTGAAACTCCTACTCAGAAATGTCACATGGTTGCAGTTTTTCAAGCCAGTTGTGGTCCTTTTGGGATTTTTTTCAGGTTTTGGTCAGAAACTGGAGTAGAAAGTCTTGGGAAATAACTGTTCTCATCCTCATCCTTAAACCCAGTGAAAACCCTAGGAAAACAACCCCAAATTTCCTTTTTTTCAGGGTTTTACATAAATGTATTTTATATTAATAAACTTCACATTAATTTCTTCCTTAATGTGGAGATTAGTACAAGTGTGATTCCCAGCAACTTGTTAATCAATAGCCTACATACTTTTGTAGCAATGGTAGCTAAATCTACTGTTAATTGCTTTTTGAAAGAAAAGTTAATGCTAGAGTAATATTTTTTTCTAATTTTCTCTGCCTAAATTGCCTTGCTGAAGGGATGACCTCAGGATAGTTTCATTAGAGGCAATAACCAGAAGGCAAAAACTCATGTGCTTTGCATGTGAGACATTAATTCAATAGACACTGCTTCTCAATCTTGGCTGCTTAAAGATGTGTGGACTTCAACGCCCAGAATTCTGCAGCCAGCATAGCTGGTTGAGGAATTCTGGAAGTTGAAGTCCATACATCTTTAAGTGGTCAAGGCTGAAAAACAGTGCTTGACAAGGTTAGGGAAACAGAAGCAAGGGAATGGATAAGACTGATGGAATGGATGAAAGAGTTACTGGAATGTTTTGGAAATAAATTTGAATTATTAGGTAGACAGATCAAGAAGTTGAACATTAGTCCACACAGTCACCAGAAAATGAAGCCTAGCTTGGGGACTGATAGTTACAGTATTTAACAAATATATAGAAGAGGTTTATATTTATATCTAAACAAATTTTAGTAAAGGTTGCATACTCTATAGGTTGGAACATACCACAACTCTAAACAATAAAATAATGTATAAACATAAGTCCCTACCTCTATGTATCCACATGCTATAGTTTTTAACAAAAAGCTGGGGGTATATAAAATAATACATCATAAACTGTTATGACTGAAATATTGTCAACATATTACTGCAGTAGTGACTGTAAAGTTTCTGGTTAGGAAAGAAGTGTTTTCCAAATTTATAAAAGATTGCATTCTAGTTCTTTGACGTGAAGAACTTTTGTTACTTTTCGACAGAACTGCTGATGAACTTTTGATTCCAGCAAAAAAAAAGGTTTTCAGAGAAGAAACTACTGTCAAGTTCTTGATAAATGTTAAAATATAATTAAGATAATAGAAATTACTTTCAAATCAGTAAATCTTATGCCAATTTTTTTTTGCAGTGATGTATTAACTTAATTTGGAGTTTTTACTGCTTAATTGATCCCTTGGTGGGGATATGTTTTACATCATCCCTTGCAGTGAGGAACTGAAGGAGAGATGAAATGATTTTGGCTTTAAAGCATCAAAAGATCTTGGGTTTTTTTCCTTTATTGAATATTTTTCCTTAGTTAATAACTTTGGAGTTTTTTTCATCTTTGGATTATTTGAATCTTATTGTTCTGAAATACAAATACCATTGAGTAAAATATTTAATAACATTTTTGTGGGATATGGGCTGTTTCTGGAAGTATCAAGAGGAATGTATGAGTTAGCTTCATCCATTATAATATTTTAATCTTGTCCCTGGCATGCTGAATTTGGCAAAATATTTTAAACCCTAAGATTGCCAAATAAGACCTTTGTGTGACTGAAGAACATAAGATATATTCATTCATTCATTCATTCATTCATTCATTCCATTTACTCCTGTTCTTTTATTAGCTATTTCACCATTTCTTCTTTTCAGTCCCCTAACAGTAGTTGTTTTTCTGCAAAATCCTATTCACCAATAAGCACAACGATTTATGTTCATATATTGGTAAAATGATGTTTGGTATTTTTACAGCACTTTTTAAGTGCTCTGAATGTTTTACACAGATGCTTGGAAGTCCTTAAAGGTTAAGTTTTGGGCTGACATAACTTTACTATTAGGTCAACTTCTGAGCATTGCATTTTAACAATTCAGGGAAACTGGAAAAAAAAGTAAGAGAAGTTTCAGAGGTGCAGAGAATAATCTTTATGAAGGAAGTCAAAGGAGCTGGACCTTGAGGACAGAAAACTCAAGAGGGATAGGAAAGCCAATTTCAATAGCCGAAAGAATTTCACACAGAAGAAAGTCAAAAGCTGTTCTTTAACACTCTAAAGGGCAGGGCATTGAGGAATGGATTTCAAGTATGGGAAGGAAGACTCCAAATGAATTTTACACGAATCAAGAGGGTTGAACTTGACTTCCCAGCAAACTAACTTGAAAACTAATTAAACAGCACAGTGAAATCCAGGAACTCCTGCAAAGTCACTTCTTAGAGGAAAGAGCAGCCTACAAAAATGACTCCCAACAACTGCAGTGTATCAGAAGCAAAAGGTTAATATAAGGTTGAAAGTTAGGAATGTGTGTAATATATATTTGTTTGCTTTATGTTATTGAAGTGGGCCAGTCCATCACTGTGGGGCAGGGAACTAGTTTTTATTCATCCCTCCCTCCCTCCCCCCCTCTCCCTCTTTCTCTTTCTATGTGCAATGAACAGATATGGAAGAACATTGTCCCATACTAATGGCATAAATGGCCTGTTTCAGTTCTATGGGTATATGGTTTTATGAATACTCTCCCCATGATTGCAGATTTATGATGCAAATTTAGGTAAAATGATGGTATACTGTAAAGAGTGGGTGGGTGGATGGATGACAGACAGACAGACCTTCCTTGGAACTTACTTTTTCAGATACTATGCTGCATCAGTTCTCAATTGTTTCATTAGACAGACTCAAAACCATACAAAGCCATAAGGCCATATATACAGGTAGTCCTCGACTTACTATCACAATTAAGCCCAAAACTTATGTTGCTAAGTGAAAAAATTGTTGAGTGAGTTTTGCCCCATTTTGTGACTTTTCTTGCCACATTTGTTAAGTGAATCACTGCAGTTGTTAAGTTAGTTACATGGTTGTTAAGTGAATCTGGCTTCCCCATTGACTTTGCTTGTCAGAAGGTCTCAAAAGGTGATCACATGACCCCGGGACACTGCAACTGTCATAAATATGAGCCAGTTGTCAAGCATCCAAATGTAAATCACATGATCATAGGGATGCTACAATGGTCAGAAGTGTGAGAAATGGTGATAAGTCACTTTTTTCAGTACCTTTGTAACTTTGAACAGTCACTAAACGGACTATTGTAAGTAAGGACTATGTGTATAACCTCATCAAATAGAGCTGGAAAAACTTCTTGGATGAGAAGTGAAACATCTTCAGAGAAAAACAAGAAAGTCCAGTTGCCTTGTGAAAAGCACCCTCTGGTCAAAAAATAAGAGTTTTGTTGTAACAGAATAAATGCCCATCCAGTCCTGCATCTCTCAGTAGACTCCAGTGAGTGCCCATTAGAAACTTAAAGATATAGTTGTCTTTTGCTACTATTCCTCCATTGGTATCCCTGACTGAATGCAGAAATTTCTTGTATTTATCGTGAATAAATTCTCATGGATACAACTCCTCCATGAAAAGTTCTATGAGCTGTAGATTTGTCTTTGTATTTTTTTTTTAATCCAACCGATTAATTCCACCTTGAAGTATTCAGGTAAGAAAAGTATATAAGGAAGCAAAGCGAACAGTAATTTTTTTAAAAAACTAAATCTTAAGGTAATGATTACTCACCTATTTAAAAGTTTCTCCAGGATTTCTAGTTTTGTACCTCACTGCAATTTTAAGAATTTGTTTTTGATGGCTTCCTGCAGTCAGCAAGTCGTATTATAAAAAAATACATTATGAAATAAAAATGACAGTTCCATTAGTTCCAGGGTTGATATAAAATATTTTCTAACTTTATTTCAGGGGGAAGAAATCTTGAGAACTGAAGATATCCTTGATATAATTGAGAAGGAAGGAGACTCAATTGCTGTAATTCTTTTCAGTGGGGTGCAGTACTACACCGGACAGCTGTTTGACATACCAAGGATAACAAAAGCCGGTCAAGCCAAGGTATAGTTACTGCCATGTTCCTTAGATCAGTCTTCCCAGACCTGACAGTGTGTAGATGGGTTGAAAGTGCCAGTCCCATAATTTGAGTCAGCCAGGCCTGGGAGTTGAAGTTACTAGTACTTCTAGATTCGAATTTTCCCTTTGCTATACTCGACTTGAAGAATTGAATTGAAGAAAAATGTCAGTCGATAACAGTGATAGTAGAAACTAAATCATGTGTTGCTAATGTTGATTGGTCAGTCCTTCTCAAATTTTGACATATATATATTGAAATTGATAAATAATATTGATATTTCTGGAAAGCATTTTAAAATGCCAGTTCTCAGGCATTACAATCCAAGGCATAGCACTGAAGGTAAATTTAATTAAACGAAAAATTCTATGACGTTAAGCTAGAGAGTCAGACAATTACCATGAATAGGTTATACAACAAAGTCCCAGAGTTATACAGATCTAACCTGTACATTTTTGTTTGTTTAAAACTACTTACTTAATTGTGGATTAGATGTGCTTTCTACTGAGTGGCTTATTTAATGCCTAGACAATTTGTGCATTATATATTACATAATACTGGAATGCCTGTTTACATTTGTGATTAAATTAAAATGCATTTATTTTATCTAGAATAGAGACCATAATATAAACTGTAAGATTAATATAGCTACAATATTTTCATGTGAATAATGGAAATTTTGCAAATAATAAGAGAATCAATATTCTTATACTGTGCAAGTGCAGGAGGTAAGGTAGAATTGAAAAGTCTCTTTAATTCTGTTCCATTTCTTATCTGTGGTCTTTCAGCTACTACACCTAGAATTCTTTAGTTATAAGCAGGTAAATTGAGAATATATATCACTATGCAACTACATTTATTTATATATATATATTCCATTATTTTGATCTACTATCTATATTTTTAGTTTAAAAATTCTGGATAAATCTTTTTCCTATCCTCTGAAAAGAATAAGTTACAAATAGAATAGAATACAATTCTTTATTGGCCAAGTATGATTGTACACACAAGAAATTTTCTCCAGTGCATAAGCTCTCAGTGTACATACAAGCAACAAGTGATAAATCATGATCATAATCATAAAATACAATCATCATAAATCATAAGATACAACACTCAGTGATAGTCATAGGATACTACATAAGCAATCAACATAAATCATAATAGGATACTAATAAAAGCAATCAACATAAATCATAAGATACTAACAACAAAGTTATAGTCATAAGAAGCTAAAGAAGTAAGTAACAGGAAAGATGAGAAGGATAATAGTAATACAGTCCTACTAGGTGGTTTGACATCCCAGGGCATAAGACAGTATTGTGGGAATTAGTTGTTTAGCAGAGTGATAGCATGTGGTTGGGGGGGAAAAATGTCCTTGTGTCTAGTTCTTTTGGCAAGCTTAAATTTTACAATAGGAATAGAAGAAAATCAAGGTGAAAAATGAAAGTGTCATGGAGCTTAGGTAATGGCAGAGCATAGTTTCCTAATAAGGTAATCCTCACTGAATGACTGGTCACTTAACAACCGTTTAAAGTTATGAAAGGCTTCAGAAAAGCTGTTTATGACTTGTCACTGAAGTTACAGTTGACACACATACAGAGACATAGACACACAAACAGACACACCATGGTCATATGATTGCATTTCAGGTGTTTAGCAAAACAGCTTCCATTTACAACTGTAATTAGTGACTTTTTGCTAATTTCCAGTAGAAAATGGGGGGAAATGCCCATTGGATATGGTGGATTCATTTAATGACCACATGATTCGCTTAACGATCATGGTGACTCATTTTACAATAATAAAACAGTCATAAAATTGTGTCAGGTCATGTGGTGCCCTGCTTAATGATTGCAACGACTTACGATCAAAATTCTGGGCTCAATTGTGCTTGTAAGTTAAGGAAAATTCAGTTGTGTAATTAATTGCTATAATTTACATACTTGACAGAGGACCAATTTTTGCACTCTGCAGAGGTTATTTTCCTAACTCCAACATAAAATTTTGGAATGTATTTTGGAAATAGACTACATTGCTCTTCAGGTCTAACTAGTGGTTTGTCCTGATCCTCTCAAGAAAACATTAAGTGATCACATACTCCAAATATATGTTTCTGTGTGTTTTCCTTCTGTGGTTTCATATCATTGGATAGTCTTAAGGATTTCTCCATTGTGAAACACCCATTCTACAGAATTCCAGGTAACAGTCTTTTACATCACTTCCTTGAGTTACTAGGGAATGAACTTAGAAACTTAGGCATTTACAAAATGCACCAAAGGTACAATTCTATAGTTCCTAAGAGAATATGGTAGGGATGTAAAATATATTGGTTTCTTGCCCTTGATGTAAAAATATATCTAGGATCACAGAAGGGTATCCAATAACAAATAACTTCTGCCACCCCACTTTAACTTCAACCCCCATTCTTACAAAAGAATAGACTCTTTAGTCCTCTGGTTTATACAGTTTAAATTTAATTTCCACGAAAGAAGTCGTTTTTAAAAATTAATGTGTATGGTTATTGTTCTTCCATACACAAATTCCTTTCTATAAGCTCTTTGATTTTTAAGCTTTCTGAGAATTTTTTTGAAAATACATATTCCTTTTAGACTCACCTTTCAGGCTGATTGAATTTTCTAAATTTTTTCAGCAGGGCATAAAGATGCTAGCAGTAACTGTTAATTTTGGGGGACCGTATCACAACAAATCCTTTGGTGTTCTTGAGTACAATATTTCACATGAAAACAGATCTGTTGCTTTTTAAAAATAGTGATATTGTACATACCAGAGCAGCCAGTACAGTTAGTCCTCGACTTACAACAGCTCATTTAGTGATCATTCAAAGTTCCAACGGCAGTGAAAAAAGTGACTTAAGACTATTTTTCACACTTACAACGGTTGCAGTATCCCCGTGGTCACGTGATCAAAATTCAGATGCTTGGCAACTGACTCATATTTATGACGGTTGCAGTGTCCCGGGGTCACGTGACCCCCTTTTGCGACCTTCTGACAAGCAAAGTCAATGGGGAAGCCAGATTCACTTAACAACCGTGTTACTAGCTTAACAACTGCAGTGCTTTACTTAAAAACTGTGGCAAGAAAGGTCGTAAAATGGGATAAAATTCACTTAACAACTGTCTCATTAAGCAGCATAAATTTTGGGCTCAGTTGTGGTCATAAGTTGAGACTACCTGTATACATATTGATGCAAAACCTCTTCAGCATAATTTAAACCCCTGACATGGATTCATTTTAATGCTTTAGAAATGGTCTAGGCCTGCATTTTAACTGTCCTTGTAAGAAAAGACCCAGGGGTATGTTTCCTCAGCAAGTGATCCAGTAGGTTGCTTTTTCCTCAAGGCTTGGTCACATTTTGCTGCATTTTTCTTCACCCAGACTGCTATGTGAATTTCTGGTGATGTTGACACCATTCGTATTCAGCTCAGCAGTTGAATAGGAAACAAGCAGATTACTGACTATATCACCTCCATGAGGTAACTCATTTTCAGTGACCTGGCCTTGGGGAATTTACTAAAAATACAGGCTCTCTGGACACATTTCATGGATTTGTTTTAACCTCAGGGATCAGAAAGAACAATAGTCAATTAAGTTTTCTTATCAAGAGGTCAGCAGAATTTCAGAAGGTATTGGAAATACTTGTTTTATCTCTGTGCGTATGCTATAAAAAAAACCCCAAACAACTATGTGCAGAAAGGGAAGGGTGCATTCTAAGTACAATGACAAAACTATCATTGCATTGACTAGGAAAATTTGCACATAGGCCAGGGATAGGCAACCTTGGCTCTTTTATGACTCATGGACTTCAACTCCCAGAATTCCTGAGTTGCCTATCCCTGACATAAGCGGTTGGTCCCTCTCATTAAAACACCACTTTAAAAATTATATTAAATTTATTCATAAAGCGTATCTTCCTTGGTCATTAAACCTTTGATTTTTCTCAAGACACTGTAATGGTGGATTAATAACATGTTCCCTCCCATCTATGAGATATCAAGACGTTTTGGTAGCTTCTTTGGTTGTGTTGTGTGGTTGAGTCATTGATAGCAGACCAATCAGACAGAGTAGTCTGTCTGGTTTCTAGTATTTTTGGTTCTCCATAAAAATGTGGGAGGATGGATCCACAGCTTTTCACATAGCATTGCTCTTCTTCCATAATTTGTTCTCTCTTGGCTATATTATTGAGGGTTTACCCACAAGATAGTGGCAGGTTTACATCTCTGGGAGATGAAAGAAAAATATCTGTGCTCACACCATGGGTGGAGCTTTTCAAAAAGATATTGTGTTTGCCTACTTCTTTTTTAAATTGCTTTCAGAAATTGTTAACTGCTTTTTAGCTTTTAAAACTTTTGGATCAACATGTTTTACAGCACTGGGTGAGTTTCTTTCAATCCTTAGTGGCAGTTTTAACTACAAGTTTAAGGACTTAAAATAATTTTGGAATAAACAGCAAAAGGTTGATTAGAGCTTTGATTCTGGTAAGTTGTAAATGAACGAAGGGTTCAGGTGGATTTGAAATAAGATTTTAATTATAAGAATCCGTCCCATGAGAAAATACTTTTGTTTTGAATTTTCTTTTTTTTAAAAAATATAAGATGAGACTTTGAAGGTTGGACATCAGAGAGAACCCGAAGGAACTAAAGGTTGCAATTAAAAGAGAAGAACACTTAAATTTGACTTCCTGAAACAGAATGGAACAAAGTATTTTAATATTCAACATATTGAAGGATATTTTTGAACAATAGACATAGAAGTTAATTTTAAGAGTCTCTGCCTCTATATGTAGGCTGTATCTAAGGAACAGGGGCAACTTTTACTTCATAAGGAGACAGAGTTGAAAGTGAATTTCTATAAGAATAACATGGAAAAAAGATGCTGTATTACTATGTATGCAAAAGAAACTGGCTGATTAAAATGAAAAAAAAAAAAAAGGATTTGCATATAACAAACCAAAAAGGGTGACCTG